CTTTTCTTCTTTGCTCGATATCTCCCAGCAGTCATCATGGTGCATAGCGTGTGAAAGAGGTGCCCACAGACAAGCGGTAGGCGCTTACTATGCCAGTCACTTCCTTCCATCTCCATGTTCCTGAGAGACCTAATTGATATTCCAAAGCGGAGTTGAAGCTGCATCTCAGGCTCACCTTAGTCATTAGTGAGCCCCACAGGGCTGTTTGCATTATAATCTCTGATTTAGATTGTGTGTTGCCTCTGTGTCCTTCCCTCGAGGTAGAGCTGTGTGTGCAAAAGGCCACCGTCGTAGGGGATCCGAGCTCAAATTAGCCCCCGCCTCTGAAGTTTGCAGTCGAGGCGAGGGTGACAGGTTGTGAACTCACACTTTAACAGGCAGATCAGATGAGCAGATTACTATCCCCCCGAGTTCTGTCACAATGTGTGAGGGAGTGAACACCATCACCGGAAGGTCCTTCTGGACATTTGTATAATAAAGTGAGGAAAGCTCATCAAATCAGGCTTATTTATGGATGGGGCATGAGAGGAATGACAAAGCTTTGGGATATACAGATGCATACTGGAGTATCTGGGTATGGATTCCTGAGCCACCTACAGTATGTGAATGCACATCTGGGCTTTGCACAATGGCATGTTGTTTTAATTAGCATGCTACACTCTGGTTGATTTTTCCTCAGGGTAACATACCCATCAGCATCAAACAAGCACAGATATCCCCCACAGCTCTTGGTTCCCTTGGCTAACTTAAGAGTTTAACATCAATCACATCACTCCCCCCCCCTAACGTGTCAACGCTGTGGGGAGTGCAGCTATTGTCAAAGAGATGTACCTTTCAGGCAATTATCTCTCTGTGTCCTCCCTCCTCCATCCTTACACAAGGATTTCGACTATTAGGTCAAAAACATCCTGAGACTGAATAATCCTCCCTCTTGGCACGTTGTCTCATACAATTCATGTGTAACTGAAGCCATAATTACAGCTGCAATAGGTAATAAGACTTTCTTCAGGTAAATATGTTGCGTCTCTCCGAAAATAGGAGAGACGTGTGACCTTTATACATGACTTTCAACTTGTTTTTTGGCTTTCATGTATTGTCGGTCCTACATTTACTCCTCTTTGATGATCCAATTGATTTTGATAACTGATTTTACTGCAAATGTATATCGGTTCCAAATATCGGTTATCGGTCTCCTTGATTACTAATAATCGGTATCGGCCTTGAAAAAGCCATATCGGTCGATCCCTACTATGAATCAAGTGGTATCATCTAACAAGATCTACTTATCTGCAGGCTGTGTCTCGTAATATTGAGCTTTAGCCATAACATAACTTCACAGCAATCATTTAGGACCTCACGTCTATAACTGACATTACAAATACGCTGCAAAACAATTCCAAGATGAAATAAGCTCTTCCGCAGCGCACTAAGAGTGAAGGAAATAATCCTTCCTTTAGTGTCTCTTTTAGAAGGAAGATCACCAGGTTCATTTTGATGTTGTGCTAAGAAGGGAGAAATATTTAAATGATTTCATGATTGAAGGCATTTTTATCGTTTCTGCCTCCTGGGATCTGATACTGAGCCAAGAACAAAGTGCAGGTGCCTGATGACTCTCCTTGAATGAAAATGGAATTAATGGAAAGCAGGTGGGTACTTCAAAGGCTCACTGCTCCAGCGGTATGGCCAAATGTGGCTCTCAACCGCCAACATCAGCTGTTGTCTCTTCCGTGTTGAAGTTAGCATTGTGAATGGAAATAATTAGATCACATTAGAGACAGTGCAGAGTAACGCAGCTGAAAGACGAGATATGATTCCTCTGGTGTCAGGAGTTATTTGCGGGGTCAAACTACAGACTTGGGTTTGTGGTCTTTTGTATCTATTTTTTTAATCATATTTATAATGGTATAAGTCAGTGAACTATATGTCGGTTTTACTCTTGCACCGTCTGCTTTACTGCACTAATAAACTCCTTTTACTGGAGCCATGTTTGAACAATGTTACTTAACTTAACACTTGCATGAACAAGTGAATGCTCCTACACAACTAAGGCACATTACCTCGTGTTTGGATTTAATACGATTTTTTAAAAACCCGAACATGACCCAACAAGTATTTGCATAATAGCTGGAAATGTTCCATAGAAAACGCAGCCGCAGCAATCTTTTAATGTTTCTCCAGCAGATTACAGATGGGAAGGAAAGCTGTAGGACAACAAAACGCTGAACGTGTCAAATTCCAAACCGTCCTCAGGAAGTGGTTTATCATTACATTACATTACATGTCACTTGTTAGATGCTTTTATCCAAAGCGACTTACATACTCAATACTGTGGACAATCCCCACAGGAGCAATTTGGGGTGAAGTGTCTTGCCCAGGGACACAACGACATGCTGACTGCAGTGGGGTTTGAACCTGTGCTCCCTTGATCCGAACACCAACGCTCTATCCACTGCACCACACGCCTCCGTATCATCATGTCAGACATTGAATACTCAAACATGGCCATTACAGAAGTCTTCATTTTTAACAATATATTTGCTGGAACGTAGCTTCATTCTTCTCCTCACTGAACACACATGCAGGATGTATTTAGTTTGTAAAGGATATATACTATTCTGTTCTAGAGCAACCAACTTAAATCCTGCAGTTGTTTCTGTATGATATTCATCTAGCTTTTATTATAAGACAATTCCCTTTTGGAATGAGGAGGGATCAAATAAGGTATATAAATATTTATTGCAAAATGCAACTCTTGCAACATCTGAGAGCTGCAAAGTTTAAGATGTTTTCTTATGATATCTTGTCTCTTTATTTGATTTGTCAGCTGTCAAAATTACCATGAAGTCTGCACTGCGCAAAACCAGTTTCCAGAGAGAACAGGCATCTCTTTTGACAGTTATATCTTCCCTTATTAAAAGCATTTTTAACATCTGTTAAAAAAAACGTGTCAGTTTGATAACAAGATTGTGTTTGGTCCTCAACCAATCTTGTTGCAAATATATTATCTCAGTTTATACTTGTATTAAATTTCAGTCCAAAATATTTAATCCAAAAAGATTCTACATTTGAAAACCTAGATAAGTTGGTTTTAACATCATACAGGAGAACTTCTATCCGTACCTTCATTGACTCAGAAGATGAATGTAGTTCTAAGAATATAAGAGCATCCCTATCTTTGATTCTGCAGCTAAAGGTTGCTCTCAGCAGGATACCTACTCCCTGGGCTTCCCTTCTGTGCTGCATAGTCACTCAGATCAATGCGTTCTTTCACCAAACTTCACAGAGTACAAGGTGTTTCCAGCAGAAAGGAGACACACACAGCAGTCTCACAAAAACAACCAACCTTGCCTCACAACTTAGACTAATCTCTATGGAATGTTTCAGCAAAAGTATTTCAAGGCATTTTGAGGCTCTCTGTTCGTCTGCCTCTTTAAAACAGCCATTTCTGCCCTTTCGAAGGAAAGCCCCTGGGATCAATCTGTAATTAAGAGAGAAAACCTCAAGCTTAATACAGCGGGGAAGACAACAAAATGTTTAAAGGGATGTAAAACAAATACAAGAGTACGGGGTGATAAACAAGACTGATCCGAAACACAGGAAGAATAATGCTTTTAAAAGCACTGAACAAAGTGAGACAGTGTAAACTCAGAATAATGTAACACTGTCCCTCCTCAAGGAATTTCTCCATTTTGTGTCACATTCAAGGAAAGTCCCCTCATAAGGTATCACTGCAACATGTTAAAAACTACCTGGAAAGATGTACTTCAAAGCCATGTCTCTTTGAAATTGTACATACAGTAAGGTAGTGTACTATGATGAGGGCTACTTGGTCAAAATGATCTTTAATCCTGAATGTGTCAGTCTATTATAAATGTGTCCACACGAGTCAATTCCATTCAGACGAAACAGGTCACAACATATGTAGACTCATATGAGATATTCATACATATAGTAATTGTGATGCACTCTGCTACACTCTCATCCATTTTCCCTGAAGACTTCTCACTGCATTCCATTGTGCAGGAATGATCATGATGTAGCTTCTCTTGTGGAATTTGCCTGTGTGTTGGAGAGGGCGCAAATTGAAATCAGCGTGTGTGCATCAGGTTGTTTCTCTGGATCCTGTTTCAGAGAGGCAATGGAGGAATGTTGTTCTTTCTTTGGTCTGTCGCACATCGCGGCCATTGCCCATGCCAAGGAAAATACCTTGCAAACTGCTGACTTTGATAACAGGGGGAAATCTGATTCTGTCTGCATGCACTCACTCTATCGAGGCAGGCACTAAGCAAGCTGTTTGGAATCCCCAATGAATGTGTTTTTCTAATGACTTGTCTCTCAGAACATTTGTGTAAATGAGGGTCACACACAAAAGCACAGTTGTTTGCAGGTATGCTTGTGTTTTGTGCATTCAGTATACAACAATCAGCAATGGGAACGACGGGTGGAGAGAGGTGGTGGGGATGTAATTGACTTCCATTTGATATTCCATAAATAAGTATTAACACAAAACATGTCCATTATAACTGCTCATGTGTTGCAAACGTCACATTACTGTACAGTAAGGAGGATGAAGTCTAAAATATCTTGTTTTATATTGTTAGAAACTGCACTACTATGGTTCTATGACATAATCTGTTCCCAACTGCACTTGGGTATTATACTTTTAAAGGTTTTAATGCAATGAATAAACATAACAAGACTTTGAAACACCTGTTAAAATATAGGTAATGTTGTAACTACATATGTGCATACTGTACATAATGAGAAGAGAAAGCAAAGCCCTTGTGAGGCAAAGTGAGATGTGTTACATGTCTGAATGCCTTTGCAGGCGGTAATGTTGACTCTGGAAGCTTCATGGAGCCCTGGCTGCTGCAGGCCAGGAAACATCACTCGCACTAGGGCCATGTGGGACCTCTCCTTAAAAAAGTTTCAGATTTTTCTTTTTCACAACCCATCGTAAGCAATCAGGCAAATAGAAGCTTGCAGTGCACAGTCACTTATTTCCAGGAGGCAGAGAGCAATGCTCAGTCTACTGACAGGAGAGCCAGCAGACCGACAAGAAGTCAGGACATATTCTCATAGCAGAAACAGACGGTAACACCAGCAGTGGGTTTTCTGAAGCCCACTTTTGCTCTCCTGGGTGTGATTGCTCCTGAATGCACATTCAAACTATTCTACTGCTCCCACCAAAGATCTGCAGATGCACTCAAACCCAAGCTTACTATTCAACCCTGCTTCTGTCTCAAGACTCCCACAAAAGCTGTACCCACGGGAAGAGGATACACATGTTTTATTGACAGAGCTACAGGTGGTTTGAGTTTGAGCTGTTGGGTTTTTTCCTGTGTGGTAAGTTGAGGCGTCTTTAGAGCCAGTATGTTGCCTATTGTTGTGGCATGTTTGGTATTCTTCCTGTTGGGCTCGGGTCAGGCTCAGGTTGCCACACAGACTCAGGGGGAGAGCCAGAGTCGTGGCCAGGGGCAGGACAGCTCTGCCAACCCTTGGAGGCAGGTGATTCAGTGGGAGAACAATGGACGACTGTTTAGCCTGCTGAACAGTGGAGCTGAATACGTACCTGCAGGGGCCCAGGAAAGAGGTCCCAGGGTGGTTGTGGCAGACACTCAGCCACGCTCTTCACGTAGAACTCAGGGAGGCAATGTCCGCCGACAAGCTCCATCAAGAGGGTCCTCTGAGACTGTCCGTGGCCAGGCAAGGCATCCTTTTGGCTTTGGACAAGTTCCTGATAACTGGAGACAAACTGCAGGCGGCACAGGGGGCGGCCAGTTCCAAGGATCCACTGGCACTCGCCTCAGGCCATCCACAGGCTCTTCATCGTCGTCGTCATCATCATCATCAACCTTTTCTTCATCTTCTTTTATACCATCCTACCCACAAAACCCATTTCCTCAACAACCTCCTTTCCAACAAGTACCTTATGATCCTAGTTTTGTAGAAGGGCCAGTCAGGAGCTACGAGCCACCTTTTCAGCCTGTTGCCGGTGGGGGAGGATATGTCGGTAGAGCATATGGTACTGGACCGGGGTATACTCAAGGAGGGTATGGTACTGGACCCGGGTACACTGGAGGAGGGTATGGTACTGGACCCGGGTACACTGGAGGAGGGTATGGTGGTGGTCAGCCCCAAGTGTTCCCAGGCTCTCCTTCTGATGTTTCTGAAGATGGCTACCGCTACTACCAGCCTTATGGCTATGGGCCAAATCCTGTGGTGCCTGCCCGTGCAGCCCAACCTGCCCAACCTGCCCAACCTGCCCAACCACCGTTTGCAGATGGTCTGGACCACAGATACTCCCACAGTATCTTCAATGCGGAGACTGGTCAGGCTGTTCCTGCTGTCCCTGCCCCTGAATTCAACCAGGCAGTTCCTGTGATAGTGGACAGGACAGGAGCAGCTGGTCAACCACAAATCAGGAGCCCTCAGTATGAGCAGCTTCCTCCATTTGGAAGACCCCAGCCTCCTGTGGCGCAGCCCATTCCTCAAGCCAGAAGTTCTCCAAACTCCGGCATCGAGAACCCCAACGTAAATGTCGGGAGTGTGTACCGGCCAGAACAGAGAGGTATGGTAAGCTTTATGGTTTGGGTTTTGTGAACTACCACAATGTATCCATTACTTCAAATGTTGAAGATATCAGTAGAAGCCGTGAAATATGGATGGCAGATTTCGAATCATGTGTTTGAAGAAAAGTCGGCATCTGAAATATTTAACATTTTCAGTGGAAAGAGGAGACACATGTTCACTTGTAGGGATTCTCCCGAAGGTATTTCTGTTTTTTATCAGATTTATGTCTGATGCTGAGACATGAATCTAAAATGTGTTAAGAGTAACCCTAACCCCAACTGAGGGGAATACAAAGTTTACATTTCCTTTAAGCACAGTCATGTTTTTTCCAGTATTCTTCTTACATTTGATTAGATATCTCCAGCAAACAGAATGAAACGGCTGCTTACAATTCAGCCTGTTCTTCAGTTTTCAAACACACCAAATTGGACACAAGGTTCATCTTTTCCCACTTGTATAGTTATTGAAACCAGGTGTTGAGCGAAGCCCTGCCCGTGTACAAAGAGCACACACAGGAACCACTGTGTTTTCTGTGGGGAGTTCTGTGCTACACAAAAGTTGACTCGTTCACGCCGTGTGCGGAGTTGGGTAATGGTGGTGGTGACCTCATTGGGGGTCTGGTGACTGGGGGTGTTGGTGGGCCCTGGCTGCGTCCTGAGCTTGAGGACACCAGAGGGAAAACTAGGGAGGGGGATACAGTACTTCACCTCTCCCTGAGGGGGAGGGGGAACATGGAAAGTCCCTGTAATGGGGTTCATTGCTTCATCAAAATCCAATAAATACTTAGTCAGAATTATTAGGGCAAGTATGAGTGACGATAGCATATATTTACTTAAACATTTAAGGTACTATGGAGTAGGAAGCTCATTGTTAATGCTGAGAAAATAATGCAAACATGAGAAGTTTTTCCATGTTCTGAGCTGAGAGAAAATAAGTACCTCCAAAAGACTTCTCTGACTCTTAATAATGAAGATTGACTTTACTTTAAATTATACTACTCAATATTTTTTGCATTACTGTGCGGCAGTTTCTATCAGCAACTATAAAGCTTGGAGCCATTTCTACAGTACAGAAAGCATGTGTGCAGATGCCATAGTGAGAAAGTAATCATTGTGATAAATATTCAGCTATTGATAGCTGTTGAATAGCTCACATTTATATTGCACTGCTTTATGGCAAGTCATTTTGGCTTTTATAGTTTAATCATGACTACTGTGATCTACACGTTTAAAATTCACCTAAAGCTAAAGTAACTACACAGGCATATACTGTATATTAACCATATTCATTCATTTATTTTAAAACCTTTTTAAAGCCACCATTGTGTTGTAAGGAAGTAAAGTACATATGAAACACTATGCGTCAGACATTGTCGATTCCCTTCATTCCTTATCGGGCAAACTGTCTGTTTGAGAGTCTATTCAAGGGGATGAATCCGATCAATTCACAAGGGTATTTTACTGAAGGTTGGTAGTACTCTAGTCCAGTCGCTGCTGGAGGGACCTTACACTGTGCAGCCCTGTATGCACACCTTGAGAGTAGTTTCTGAAAGCAGGAATCTTGCTGTTTTTGTATTAAGACATGTTTGATGGTAAATATGGGACGAAGAACTTTGCTCATTGTCAAGACCAATTGCCCTTTCTACCCACACTCCCATGCTCCCATATTCCCTGACAAAGCCACACACAGTCATACAGTAGGTGAAAGTGATTAGACGTAAGATTAGTTCATTAAGGCAGAGCTGTATTACAAAATAATGCAAAGAGTAAAAAATACTACCATGCAAAAGTGGCTGTGATATACTCTATATTTAATTATTGAACGCTGTTGTGATTTTCCTTTTTAAAATGACCTCAATGAAGTATTCTAATCGATCAGTCTCCTGCAGCTTACCGCCAATAGCTTAAAGCAGGAGTGTCTGGAGAGGGAGCCCTCATGTATTTTATTATGCTTTATTAGATGGTATAAAAAGCATGGCAAGATTCAGCTTCCTTTCTCCTTGCCCCACTTAGAGTGTAATGTGTGGCTTTGTCACATGCTGTCGAGAGCTGATCAGCTTTGGCTACTCAATACACTTTATCCCTCTGAAAGAGACCCAATTTTCACATTTCAAAAGATTAGGAAGCAGAGAACAAAGCCTTCCTAGGGTGAGGAGAAAAAAACGAGGTTGTGAGTGCTCACAGAAAACCTCTGCGCTATGCGCTGGACTTACAGGGTTTACATAGTCTACCCCAGGAAGCTTCCCCCTCTCTTTGACTTCTGCCTTAGAGAGAGCTGTCATATAGGATGTTTTACACAATGCCCACAAAGGCAAAGCTTTTATTTCGACTTGCAGCTGGGGAGGTAGGCAACTTCCTATCTGGTTGCCATAAACAGACTGTATCTAAAGCCTTTCATGTTAATCCAAAATGAGAAAAACTGCAATATTTCATCATTTCATAATGCTTTATTTGTAGGATTGAATTATCACTTCTAGACTTAGAGGTCAGATGTTTGACTTTAACAAGCTCAAATTAAAGTGTGTCTGGCCTGTGAACTTAACAAAGAGGGGTGATAAGCAATTGCCAGAGACCCTTGCTGGCTTGGCCTTTAGTGGGAAAGGGAGAGAAAGACATTCACTGTGACAAGTCAGGCCTGGCGTTTTTACTTGTTCCTCAGGTTTGTGACGGACCTGGTCAGTGGTGCACTTTACAAAACAGCAGTGTTTTGAAATCCCTGTTGTTTTTGCCTTGGCGTGTACATTCTCCATTTCTGGCTCTCTGTCTGGCTCTCTAGCTGTATCTCTTCATCTCTGTCACAAATGACAGACTTGCAAAATCCAAAGTCTGAAAAACACAGACTCCATTGCAACAACCTCTCTTGTGATACTGTAGATCAGGAATCCTAGTCATTTTACATACATCCTAGTCATTCTTTATTTTACGGTTACAATGAAGTGACATGTTTGCATAAAGATCAGTGCACAACTGCACATGGAAGAACAAATCATTAGGAAAACAGTTATTGGTATACAAGTTTTTCCTTTTTGCAACTCTTATGCTCTCTCATCCGTGTCTGGCAGGCCTATTAAGCAAAAGTGTTATTTGAAAACCGTGATAATAATCTGAAAGGATCCGTTATTAGTGGCCTAAGGCTCTCTTTCTAGTGCCCCTCTCTTGATCTGGTGGCCATGTGACACGCTATCCCCCAATAAGTATCACCATAAAGACTCCATTAATAAAAAGATGATGACAAATATGTGAAAGAGTTCCTCTGTTTCTGGGCTTTGCACTGGCAATGACAGGAATGGCTGCAATGAAAATAGATGTAGAGGTGCTTTATCAGATCATTGGATCACTAAAGTAAAGTTTGAGTCTGTCTGATCCAATAAGTAATCACTCTTTTATGTTCACCATTTGAAGCAGGTTTGTTTGATTTCTAAGAAAATGACTTGTGCTTTTTGGAATAAGTTTGAGTGTAAGATATGGATGATATGGTGAGCATTGTGTCTTTCATTACAGGTTTGCCTGACCTTGTTCCTGATCCAAACTATGTCCAGGCTTCCACATACATCCAGAGAGCCCACATGTATTCTCTCCGCTGTGCTGCTGAAGAAAAATGTCTTTCAAGGTAAACACAATTCTGTATGTCCTTTGCTGGCCTGTGTTTATTTATTCATTCATTTATTTGGTTTCTTAATGGGTTCAATCTAATGTCACGGTATCACAAATATTTGTGTCCCTTTGGATTCTGTTTTCATGTTAAAGTTCTAATGTCATAAATGTTGTTATTGAATGTGCTAATAATGGTTTGTGGCTCAGTGGTAAGCACACATACAGATATCCAATTGAGGTATATTAACCAACACAATGTAGCCCCCTGTGTCCTGTCCATATGTAACCCTACTTTAGACCATGCATTTACAGAGAATTGTTTTTATGAAAGACTGACATCATTTATAAGCTGTTTTACCTTTGGGCAGCATTACCCAGCAAGTGAACCATCCACAATTGCAACGTACTGTAGCCACAGGAATATACGGTTAAAAAATATACCAACTGCACAACATTAGAACTGAATCCTGGTCACCTTTGGGGAAACAGACTGTTGTTACTTTCATTTCTCTGTGTTGGTGGATGGCATCCCCTGAGCCTCAAACCTAGGCCCTTTGCACTAAAGACACTATTGAAATTATGAAAGTGTGCTGTCCCCATGGCTGCTCTATTTGCCCTCTTCCCATCACAAGCACAGCCATCGCTCAAAGCCCTTTCATATCCTGTCTGAGTTTGCAGCAATCACCGACAGATGGGCTGTTGTAATTTGCCATACACTCCAATGTCAACAACAGCCGCAAGATGAATGGCTTAGATCTTCAGTGGTATTGTGAACTCGAGGTTTTTCACAGTAAAAGTGAATTGTGCTACAGAATCTCCTCATGTTGAATCAGTGTATTTGGAGAGATGGTTGTAATCTGTACAGTAGAATAAATGATTAAGTAGATATGCTTCTGCTTTCAATCCTGTCCAGTCTCACTCCTGTTTTATTTCCTTGTCTTAGTAATGAGAAACAGGCATGACGACATTCTTTTTTAAGCAACTTGTGCTGTTTCCCTCACTGATTTGGTCCTGATGTCATGTGTCCGTTATCCAGCTCCGCCTATGGGCCTGAGGTCACCGACTACGATGTAAGGGTCCTGCTGCGATTCCCACAGAGGGTGAAGAACAAGGGGACTGCCGACTTCATGCCTAACAGGCCACGTCATACCTGGGAGTGGCATAGCTGTCATCAGTAAGTACCGATACAAAACAGATTTCACCCAATCAGATAAATAGGCTTTCGTCTCTGTAGTATTAGCTGTTGCAGTATCCAGCTATGTGGCACATTAATGTCAGCTCAATTTGATTTTTTGTTGTAATAAATGTCTGTAGACTGGTTTATGCTGATCATCTTTCCCATTAAAAGGTTATTCCACTATTACAAAAGAGACAGATTGTAAGATCTAATAGTGAAATGCATGATGTAGCTGAATTTGTTACATACATCCCATGAATATGAATAATATTTAATTAATGTATTGAATTATGGGAATTATGGGCAATTCTGGGCTGATCTGGATGAGCAAAGACACAGAGTACATCCAAGTAAGTTTTATTTAAATAGCCCACTATCACAAATTATAAATCTGCCTCAAGGGGCTTTTCAATCTCTACAGCATATCATACCCAATGTCCTAAGACCATTGAATTGGATAGGGAAAAGTGCCTTAAAAGGGAAAAAATGAAGGAAACCTCTGCAACTTATGAAGGATCGTTTTCTTTTGACTGCTGAAATGCAATCTAGCTGTTCATCATCTCTCGCTATGCGGACATGCTTGTACTAGATGTTGTGGGTACAGAATGGATCAACAGAGCACTGAGTTCATGTCCAATAAGTTGATGTGGCACATGTCAATGTCATTTGGCCAGACATAAATGCAGATTAGCTGTCATAGAGCCCTATAAGATCCATATTGTGCCCTAAGGGATATGCAACATGAAAAGACAAGCCTTGCATTGGTTAGCAGAGAAAGTACACATATGATTCTGTTTCCTAGTCTTAAAAGGAACCTATGGAGTTGATTAGCGAGCCAACCATGTGTGAAATAATATAAAAACGATAAAATCCTCCACATTACATGAAGAATAATGGTGTATAGACATGTGGGTTTGATCCATTTAGCGAGCTAATTTCTCATTGTGCCTTTCATGGTGAACAGATTTCAGTTGTACTTGCCAGTCGTGGCTCTGGGGGACTGCTGATGAGGTGATTTTGGGGTTATCGTCAGTGTTTTATGGCATTATATTCCATAGACTGCATTTTATCTGAATTTCAGCTAGTCCGCCCACTGACGATAGTGCCAGGCTCTGCTTTACTACCCTCATCTTAGAGGAATGTTGACTGGCCGTTAGGAGATTGGCAGTGTTGTTGCTGTTTGACATCAGTCTGCATTCGCACAGTGGTTCCCAGGAGGCGGAAAGCCAAGACAATCATTCGACAATGACAAATCAATGCAGTTTTCCCGTCAATCTGAGGCGCCAAATCACACAGCTGCTAAAGTATGATGGATATGGGTTACTGGGACAGAGTGTTTGTTAACAAAGAAATCTCTTTAGGGGAAGAAAATCTCTAGCCCAGATTCTCACAATAAACTTTCCTACCCGACATTTCTGTTAAAGAAGCCGTGTAGTTGACAGTCTTGCATTTCATTACCGTCACCCTTATCTTTCTCTCTGGAGTAATAGAAGAAGGGAAGGGAACAGACTCTCTTGAGTATCATGGTGTCAAATGTTGGAATTCTGTATGTTTTTGCACAAATGAGGACAACGAAATCCATGTGGAACATGTCTATGCCAATCAGTGCAGGAAACAAGTGGAAGTCATTATAATGCTGTATTTATTTGTGTAGGAGTTTTTGTGGGGATCACGCATAAGTTAATTATAAAGTTCTTCAACTATGTTTGTCTCGGTCCCTTACGGCATAACTGTATGAAAGTATGTGACCTTTGTGGTCAGAGATCATGGCTGCTATTTGTGCAGGTGCTTGGACATTTGTATTCATATCCTGCTTGCACATTGTGAACGGCGTATGTCATGCCACTGCTAAGTACTTCTCAAAGACTTAAGTTCCCTGTCATTTACAACAACCCAGGCTGTGATCTGAGAAAAAGTCTTGTTTGTGGCAACACCAGTGGAAAATTACTCATGGCTTCGAAGAAGGAATGGAATGTTTTGTATACTACGATTACAAATTATTCTAGTTAAATACTCTATGTGTTCTTGCAACACTGCATTCTCTGTAGTTGACATAGTCGGCGAGGGGATCCAGAAATTCGAGGAGGCAAGGGTCCCTTCCAGGCACCTCGTAATCCAGCACCTCCCACTCTCTGTCTTTTTCTCTGCACCCCGCACCCTTTCTTTCTATTTCACACACACAGTTGATAATCATCATGCTGTAGATAATCATCTCAAGCCACTGAATTGAACCTTCAAGGCCCTCCTTTATATACATGTGATCAAATACAGTCACACGTATTGAAAAAATTGCATGTGTGCTTTCGTGGCCCACATAAAATAAGCCTTTACACTCTGTCATGCACATTTGCATGTTAACAGAGACAGAACAGTAATGTATGCCCTAGTCTCAATGCATACAGTGTTTGGCAGCTGATAGCAACTGGTTTCTACCTGGTAACAGCTCATAATTAGTTGCCTCTACTTTGGAAAGAATGAGTCCTTGAATGGTCACTGGCTCCATTAGGGGAAAGTACCTATGTTTCCTTCAATCTTTAATGAGTGTTCCAGTAAAAGCTGTCGCTACGTGGAATCATTAGCCATGAAGCAAGGTGAAAGGCAATATTTATATGGTCTGAGTTGGTCTGAATGTGTAAGATTCATTGCTTACATCACCCACTGCAACGATGTAAGCCAACAGCAATTAAATATACTGGATAAAGCAAATAAACAATCAAAGGATAATGGAAATAAATACTTTCAATAACTGCAAAAAGGTGGAATTACATTTGTAATTTCAAACTGTAATTTGGGGAATATTGTCATATTGATTTTTGTATCTAAAATATAAAGAGTTTAGCTATTGGGATCAATTTAGTATTAGAAAGGTTGTTGTTAAGTGTGTTGGATTGGAGACATTTTGTCCTTGCTAAAAGTTGCTAAACTTTGTTATTTATTGATAAGGAATTTTGACAACATGAAGTTAAACCCCTTTTATGCAAATAAGAGAGTTCAACCTCTCAGGCACAGCCTCCTAACACTATGGGAAGACAGGTCAACTAACACATACATACAGTAAATTCCTGCTGGCCTTCACTACACGATGAATAAAGCTTTGTCAAAAATATTTCCAAAACATTTGTTCATGTATTCCATATGACAAAAATGGCCCATTGATAAAACACCAATTCCTACTACTGCGATACTGTATGTTGCTTTTTACATTGAATTGTAATTGGGGACACTTTAAATGCTTGTCAAGCTCAGCTTTTGTTAACATTGAATCAACATTGATTTAACTCTGTTCATTTGCAGATTGAACTGTAATTTGTGGTGGTATTATGTTATACTGATAAACACCTCCTCTGAGCCTCATTAAGGTGCATTGCTAAGTTAGACTGCTACATATTTAGCTTCTTGTAAAATACAATTGTACACACAGTAGGACCTTTGCCATATGAGTTATGCAGACCAGAATGTTGGTTGCTATGCTACTGCATTTGTTGTGGCTGTGACAAATGATGTCATGTCTGGAAACCTGACAGCCATGCTTCATGTTCAGCAGTGCTTCACACCCACTGCCATCCAGAACTATTCTGCTTGTGTATGCACCACCAACAGCGAGCCAGTTATCCTGAGTGCTTTCAATGAGCTATAGAAAAGTAAGTTTGCTAATGTTTCTGGAAAGGTATTTTCAGCCATAGTATTCAGACATTTGCACATCAAGGTTCTCTTTTCAGACATGTAAACTCAAGAGATAAATCCCTTTAATGTATTCTTATTTTGTTGTGACCACATTAAGCAGGCTTGTAAAAAGTGAAAAGCATCCCGGGTCACTTTGAAATTTGGGAGCGGTCCAAGCCATACAGCAGTTAATATTGCAGATGATTTTAAATGGACCGGCTCTTTGACAGAGTCACTTTAGTTCATATGCGGTTCAGTTGAGATGATCAGTGCCCATGTGCACCCAGGCTTCCCTAAGCCGCTAAAGCTGTGCAAATAAACACACACCAAAACTAACACACAAACACACTGGGCGACACACACAGATGTGCACATACGCATGCAAATAGCCACAAGTCCAAACACATCTAAATGTGCACACGCTCACACACCTCCGATCTTGCTGAGTGATACAAGCTAATTAACAACATTCATACATCATTAGGGTGTTAATGTCGTGCCTCGGCAATACTTTATTGTTGCCATTAATTAGTGTCCTTTGATACTTTGATGTTTTCAGTCAAGGTGCAACATTACTTGTTAGCAGAAAAAGGTCAACGGGTCTATAACTAAATAAGTCTTAAAAGTCAACTAAATTAGCTAAATTAAGGCAAAATGGCAATGTAATTAATAAACCTAATAAAAACATAATAAGTTCTGCTCAGAGATTGTTTCTAAAGCACACAATGAATATGACACCAGAATGAACTAAGATTGTTGTTCCTCTTTGACTACATGCACAATCTGTTTTTTCCGACAGGCACTACCACAGTATGGACGAGTTCAGCCACTACGATCTACTGGAGGTCAGTACAGGACGGAAAGTGGCGGAGGGACACAAGGCTAGTTTCTGTCTGGAGGACACCACCTGTGACTTTGGTCACCTGAAGCGCTATGCCTGCACCACTCACACTCAGGTAACACAGCAAAACAATATGTGGAGTTGTGATTTTCACCTTCATTGGGAGGTCACCAGCTCTACTCTTGGTAGACTACTTTTCATCACAAGCTTTAGCAACCCCTAGGCTAGTTTCCATCCACGGCAGTTATTCAATTATAGAGCAGCACAACTCCAAGAAGTGCTTCATTATTTACATGGTCCAGTCATTTTCTAGATTAATCCATTCATCTTTTGGTCTAGAAAATGCTATAAGATTGTTAAAAGAAAATGTCCATCCCAGTTTTCTCGAAGTCCAAATATTTGTTGTCTTATGTTTATATATACATTCAAGTGCAAATAATTGTATCTACTGTAAATAAATATAATATATATTATTTTGTATTATAACCTTTTGAACGCATACTCGTCTTGACACAGTTAGAGGAGATCAGTATTCCTCCTGAGCGTCTCCCCTCTGTTTCTTCAGGGTCTGAGCCCGGGCTGCTACGATACATACAACGCTGATATCGACTGCCAGTGGATCGATATCACGGACATCCAGCCTGGAAACTACATACTAAAGGTAGGAGTCAAGTTCGTGGAGAGCACAAGGTCACATTTCATGGAGGGTCTGGGCCATCAAAACAAATTGATCTGAGTTATAAAAGAGTAATAAAGTTACTGAAGTATTTAGGTTGTTCTATTTCTCTGGGTCCTAGCACTTTATCACACAGGGGCATCTATTCCAAATACCTTCTTTCTCTAACACTATTTCATGTAATGATTATGGTGTGTTGTAATTGGCCTTTTTTCCCTTTTTCTTTCAGCTCACAGTTAATCCCAAGTTTTTGGTGCTGGAATCAGACTTCACCAACAATGTGGTCAGGTGTAATATAAACTACACAGGACGGTTTGTTAGAGCATCCAACTGCAAGATAGCACAGTAAGTAACGGAGAATATACACACTATTATCACATAGTTGGTAATTGTTTGGTAATAATTGACTGGAAGCAATCTTCTCACAATTTGCAACAGCTGGGAAATAGTTTTGCTTTTATAGAACGCCCAAGCGTAACTCAGGGTGTGTGTCGTGTTCCCACCACTGAGTTACGCTGAACCGCATTACTTAGGGGGTAACCGCTAAATGCAGTTTTATGAAGTGCCTCACAGTGTTTTGAATTACTTAGTGGACTTAATAGGTTCCTGGCTGAAATATTTGATGATATAATGAATAACTTTCCCATTCTCCAGTTAAGATTCATAGCCTCTGAAACTTTCATATCCTCCCTCAAAGGGAGATGTAGTGCTGTTGAACTTTTGAATAGTGCTATTAAGGAGTGTATCATTGAACTCAGAATTGCTCTCATATCCTCTTGAAAATACTTTATGCAGAGAGTGAGGAAAGCGTCATTAGGTTCAAGTGCTGCAGTTGGTCTCCCTTAGCTCCAGTGTTACAGTGAAACACACTTAAAAATATGTTGCCGAAGCATTTTTGGACTTAATGACAGCTGAATATAATAGTTAGGTACTGATGCCAATAAAATAATTACATTAGCAGATGCCATGAGCCATATTTCCATCTTTAAAATCTTATATTTGAACTATTCCTATATCTTAAAAAATCACGTTAATGTAATAATGACCGCAGTCTGATAGTAATAGTTTAACAGGCATTTTCTGCCCAATGTGGTGTGACATTTGAATTTGAAGGTAGTCATCAAATTAAAAACAAATCATCATTACATATACATTACATAAATTCATCATTAAATTGTAATTAGAAAACATACGTCATGTTGATAACATTGGTCACCTGCGAGTATTGACTGTGAGAATGTGATTTGCCATAATAGCTGGTCACCATTAAGGAAAGGAAGACTGACTTTTGTCTGCCTCCGCCTGAAATCAATTAGCTACTGCTTTTAGAAATGTATTAAAGAATACAAGTGGTGAATCTGCCGCTGTTGGCCCTGTAAACTGTGCGCTGTGAAAACATAAAGATTGACGATTTGCAATAGTAAATAATAGCTATTATCTTAGCAAACTCCTTACTAAATGTTGTTGGTCATTTACAATTGGATTGGTTAGTTACCATAATCAATTTATAAGAGAAAACAAGTTTGTATAGTTTTAAAATTGAAGTATGTACCACCTTTCACTGTTCAGTATAAACAATCTATCAAATAACATTCAAATGTTCCTCTTAGTATGGAGTTGAACAAATGTTTTTGTTCATTTACAGGTCTTGATCGGGCGCTGGAGGTCTGCCACTATAGAGGGACCCTGACTTCCATTGAAATGTGAATGGAATCCATGTGTTGTTGGTTCATTGTTGATGTTGTTTGTCTTACTAATTTGTGCCGTCTCGTTATCCTGAACCCATGAAAAACCTGGTTCACCTGGCACTGAAAAGCATGTGGTGGTTTAAGGTAGACATGCACACACACACACACACATACACACATTATTGGATAATGCAAATAGCACCTTGATATCAGACCATAACAGTTTAAATCCCTGCAATCTAAGATTTTGTATTTCCTCTACCAACTTCTTGTTCACACTCTTCCAGTGTGGTTTGGTTATAATCGGACACATCATTGACTTTGAGGTGTTTACTGTTTCTACGCACAAACATCGATGCCCATGATGGCAGAGTGTCTCTGATTGAATTATAAATAAAGCATCAAACAGTGCCAGTGATGAAATGAGTGGTTCCAGACGAGTCAGGGTTCAGCCGCGATCAAACAAATACAATTACGGGACAATGTCTTCCTGGGTGCATTCACCCATGCTCTGTGGGGACAGAAAGAGATGCCCACTGACTCAGAAGAACTATAATGTGTTAGTTTTTGTGTTTTCTCTTCACTGCCTCAGGGGGTCAGGCTGGGATACTGTGATTTAATGTTGTGTTAACAGCAAGAGGAAGACAGCAGGTCATATTTGCATTTGTCAACCGCATAAAATTATAAGTCAACATAAAAACAGGCTGCCAGTACAGGCCACTGTTCTCCTCTAAACCCGTGCATATTTGTGTCGTGTCCCTATTTCAGTAAAACAGGAAACTCAACTGGCAAAAAAGGGTGCTTTCCAGAAAACTAGACTCGCAGTATGTACGCTTTATATTTACACTGTCTGATGGTCTCTTCTTCTACTACCAACACTGGTCGGATGGCACATCTTTACCTTTTGAAGAATGTGTATACAAATATTCCACTGATGCATGAATGATGGGATTATTTTTGTTGTTGTATCCAGTTTGACCTGTTACTGTTATTTGTAAAAGTAAATAAACTTATATATTTTTTCTTGATAATATGAAATATTCAAAAAGCACTACTGCTACATACTCAGTGTTTTAATGCAGAGAAAGCCGTCTCTACCTACCTCTCCAATCGAGTGAGCTCTTTCTTGTTAAGTGTTGAAATGGTTCACTCCTTCCTGTGTTGCAGCACAAAACCCACAACATCTGGTGAATATGTGAAGAACACACAATGCAGGATGCAGACAATGACTAAGACTAATCTTCTAAGAATTCAAGTTAGAATCCTTAAGATTTCAGTCCTGGTTTGTTGTGCGGTTTTAATACTAAATCAAACAAACATGGAGCAGCTACTTTGTCGGCAGCAGTGCAGCAGAAGGGGCAACAAGCATATCTGTTTACAGTCGAAACCAAACAAACTCAAGTTTTAATAAAGTCAGTCAATAATTGACCTTTCTCCATGATGCCAGGATCAACGTGATGTGATTTCATATTTCACAAAGGGCTAGAAGTTCTCCTCCAGCAGCAGCGCACAGTATCAGGAGTTAAATCCTGAGTGAGAACATATAGTAACTTTTCATCAACAGCTCACTCTGACTGGGCCTTTTTGTTCTATTATCTCTTATAGTTTAAATTGATCCTTATCCCAAACTTGCCACCTGGTTTGGAACATTTTGGATACATGTTCATAGTTTTGCTAATTTAGGCTTCAGTAATATTGCCCTTCCTGGGGCTGGATTACAACAAAAGCCACTCCACGTTTCACCCCTTGTGCACTTCTCTTGTAAACCAGCAGCAGTAGGAATATTTGGTTTGTGTTAATACAGGAATCATATAATTTAAATAGACTAAACGGATACAACTTCAAACCATATTGCTGGATTATGCATTGTTTCCTGTTGAGCGTGAAGGCAATTTGAATCCATCACAAGACTGGCGGACCCCACCACTAACAGCAAAAACGACTTTACTGCATAGAGGTAATAACTGTATTTAAATACATTGAATGGCTATTGCAGGAAAAATGCTCATCATAAATAGTTTTAAAAAAGCGTTGTTATTTGATCTGCATTTATCGACATGGCAGGGTTAACGATCATACTGTGCTCTCACTGACGGGATGCAACAACATGTGACTCTGACATTGACATGTGGAACAACAGCACCAGAGTAGGCGACACATATACAGCGTCTTTGACATGTTGTGATGATATTTGTGATTCTGTAATGAACACCTCTCAAAGTTGTCATATACAATAAATACATGTACACATCCGCTGTGCACACTGAATGTAATATGAATGATATGCATCACTCTCACGGCACCGGATCCCTCATATAAGATGTACACAGAATACAGATCAGTAGACTCTCAGGAAATGCTGCGTGACAGGTGTGACAAGTTTCTGAAATCATCGCTTTCAAAAGAGATTAGGTGTTATATGTTGAATTCATTAAGTCATTTTCCTTTGAACTGTATGTATTTTTGTCGTGCATGATTCAAACACGGGTATAGGTTTCGCATTTAAGAATACAAGGGGAAAAAAACACTGCATATAAGATTCCTGCAAACACAAAACAATCAATGTGACAAATGGGTGGTGGCACTGGTGCATACAGTATGTGAGTGGCAGGCGATGTATCCATATTCTGTGTAGACATCCTTACGAATAACTTGTTAAGATCACACACTGGCCCCACACAGCCAGATATCCTTTCAGTTTGATAACTCTTCAGAAAGTCTTTGTTGCTAATTAACATCCGACATTTCATCTGACTTCTTTCGGCCGCAATTAAAGACTAATCACGTTATGCATGAAAAGTCATTACATGGATCACAACAGTATGTGAGAGAGGAGCTGATCGTCTTATCAAAACTAAGTATAGAACTACACAAAGATAGTCTTTGTTTGGTGAGGAAAGGAAGGCACTCACTGACTATCTTCTTCATGACTATCACCATATAAGAATAACCGATAGATTTGTCAATGTTTTACCGCATTGCCATTTAGAAATGTAGACTAATGAACAGTACTTATGGAGTGATTGCAAGCCTCATCGCACTTATGACTAAAGTCAAGATAATCTATAGTCGTTTTGTAAACAGAAAACTGTTCAAGTGGGAAAATGAATCACAAGCTCTTAAGAAAATAGGTCCTTTAAAAGAAGACGTTGCCTTTACAAAACAAGTCTAAGAAAACAAGATGGAAAGAACAAAAGGAACGTTTTTTTTTTTCCTGACAAGATCTTGACTGCTAATTTTAAAGTGTTGAAGTAATACAAAACAAAACAACATTGTACCCTTATTTTTATTTACAAGATTAGAATACATAGATAGGAAGAATTGAAAAAGATAAAACAGTTTTTTTGTGTCTGATCTTTAAAGCCAAAATAAATGAGAAATCCAGATCCAAAAATAGAAATTCAAACATCTTATTATTATAACTTCATCCCGTGAGGAAAATCATGCTCCAACACAGTGACTTACGGATTGAGGATCTAATTATTGAAAATAAAACCGATCGCTGACAAATTCTTGACAAACCTAGAGATAAAAAATGCATTTGTTATTGTTGTATCTGATTGCTCAGTGTTGGTAGCAGTGTATATCATTCCAGAAATATGATAGTATGAAAACACAGACATTCCTCGCAGAAGTATGTCCTTCCCAGCCAGAAGAGTGAGAATCCATTATCTGCTTGTTTTCATACTCTGTTCACTCATATTTAGTCTGTCCTAACCAAACTTCCTCTCGGTACCGGCTGTTTGTTCAGGCTGTTCGCAGGAAATCACCCCTTTCTTTTCTTTTTCTCTATGCCACATTATGTTGTTTTGTGAAATTGCTGCAGTACATGCTGCCATTTACTCGACGTTGTCCGTATGTGTTTACAGTATGTTACCGTGATGATAATAATAATAATAGATTTAATTTGTTAGCGCTTTTACAGGTGCTCAAAGACGCTTTACAGATATAGTGAAGGGACAAGAAAAGGAAGGAACAACAAATAAATATATAGTTAAAGTCAAATAATACAAAAACAATCACACATTAAAAGCCAGATTGAAGAGGTGAGTTTTTTGAAGGTGGTGAAGTCAGTGCAGTCTCTGATGGGTTGATGGTGATGGTGTATATCTTTGCGTGTGTTTGAGAAAAAGACAGATGGGTAACTTTTAGTGAGGAAGCGAGAAGCCAAATGATAACCGTATTGTTTTACTTAAGAGTATTATGTTTCCAAAAAGAACAAACAGTCTTTATCTGTCCTGTTAAGTTGTTTTTCAAAAGCATGCCTCTGTTTTTTCTCCTGTGTGTTCCCATACAGCAGCTGGTTAAGCAGCTTATATGAAACCATTTTTTTCCAATGTGGGGTATATGCAGTAATGTCCACCAGGAGCCTCTTCTACAGTCCTGGCGTCATGGTCTTGTTATCGGTAATGAAAAGGCGTACTGCAGCACAATCCCAACAGCAGTGTCTGCAATGGATGTCAAAGCCTTTGAATTTCTTAAATGATTTAGTACCACTTCTTACAACAAATGAATATGCAATTGTATTTATCATAGATGTGCTAGAGGGTGTTTCCCAAGTGAATCCAAACAGTGTGCGATTCTAAGTGAGCACAAAATAATACCCGAGGGTTATGCAGAACAAAATCCCAAACATACTGTATCGCTGAGATATGGAATAAACATGATGCACAATGCCAGAGATGCCAGTGCATGCATGGGGTAGGAAACTAGAACAAGAGAAGACTAGGGGGGTTATACAATTAGCACCACTACCATAGATGCATGCAGAAGGAGGAAATGTGTGTAGAAATGGTCAGAAAAGCTTGTCAGATAAAGAGCTGATTGTAAGACGATGACTCTGATCAGCTGACGGGATGTGCAGCGTCATCGCTCTTCCTGATCCAAGATAAACAAAACTATGGAAAGAATTGGGGTAAAACTTTGGGTACTTTGGGAATACAAGCAGCAGAAAAGTTCTTAAAAATACATTTTCTGACTCTATGTGAAGCAACAGGCGTGTTGTAATTCCCCCTGAATGTTGCAGGCCCCTTCTCAGTGTGAGCTCTGCAAACATGCTAGCACCTGATCAAAGGAACGATGTAGCGAGTAGTGGTATCTCGAGAAAAGGGAAAGACTCATACAGACATGATAAGAGCAAATCCATTACATATGTAAATACTCCGCTTTGGGCTACCAACTGTTTTGTCTGATCATCGATAAGCAGAAGATCTGTAGGGAGGGCGATAAAGAACCGCAGGACAGATATTTCCCCTTACAACAAGCCGCGTTTACTTTACCAGCAAACCTATGTAAAGCAACAACCGGTTTGCAGCTGCAAGCTTACAACGTAATTGAGGAAACAGATCAAGTGAAGTGAAGCAGGACTGATTAGATCTTCCAGCATTCTCAGCGGTGAGACATCATTGAATACACAAAACCCCCGCAGGAACAGGAGCCATGGGTGTAGCGCCGAAATTGAAAAGCATGCGGAAACACCTTTTTCTGGCTTTGAAATTGTCAGTCACGATCAAATTAGGGCTGGGTATCGAGTATGGCCTTTGGCTTCAATTCCTGGCATCGATAGCAAAGCAGCATGATAGAGGGCCATTACAGCTGCACTGCCTGCACAGTGATGAGGCTAAAGGAGATCAGACCTTTGGGATCCGGGATGAGGACAGGCAGATTGTGGAGGTTGTTATCTCCGTCATGACAACTTTGAACTGTGATAATCGACTGAGTCTGTGCTGTCCCTCTCCAACATCCATCACATTTATCCAGAGGCACGATCACAGTGTCATCTAACTCATGCATTTCCAACATGGACGAAGATAGCCTGACAAGAAAAGGAAATAAATAATGCTGCTTACCCTTATCCACCAAAACGTATTCATGTTTGTATTTCTTCAAGACTTCTTACTTTTTGTGGTGAAAGCTTAAAAACATGTTTGTTTCTTCCTGATGATGTTTCCTGATTGGCAAGTGTATTTGATAACATGTTTAACTTTATTTGTTATATAATTAGCATTGTAAATTACCCAAAAATGTGTTATTTTCTTCTAACGACTTGGTCTTTCCTCATTGGTCGTGGCTGGTCTAAGTGGCACCTTAGGCATGTTGTTTAAATAATTATATACTCAAATATAGTTAATTGAATACAATTAAATCAAGTGAATAAATAAAAGACACTTCTCCCATAACCTCCTCCCGTGACTCCAAAATGACTTTCCTGCTTTCATTTTCTCACCTTGTTTTCCCCCCTGTGCACCGGCACCATAGTTTAGTTGATCTGACATTTATTTCGCTCATGCAGCACATAATCATAAGTTTGTGGTGACACTGATGACAAGGTGACAACATTCAGCTTCAGTCATTTGCTCACCCTCCCCACCCCTGTCCCATTTTAGCCGCAGTGTGTGCATTAGTTCATGGCGAGGTCACGTCATGAGGGAGTGTTTGTGCTCTAAGGATAATTATTATTTGTGTTTAATCAGACTTTTTTTGTCCGGGGCGCTTTGCCTTGACAATCTGCATGTAGCATGTGTGAGGGCCTAATTAGGCTTTTAGTAAATGCATACATCTTTATTTAATAGTGTGAGCTATCTCTGGGCCAGAATTGTGTATGGTAGGCTAATTAGCTAGAATTATACATGTCATCTTAAAAACACAAGTCCTTCTGGAGCAGAGGACTGAACTTGAAAACACGCTCTGTGTCCAATGTGGTTACATAGTTTTCTTATGCATTTGTTTTGTGACTTTCCACCATGTTAATAAAAAGACTAACTATTGTCCAAGACTCAAACTGCTCCATCTTCTTTAACCAGGCTTACAATGGGACAGCTAAAAGACATGACTCAAGACCTCCATCCCTCACTGCAGCAGGTTTATGTGAGGATAATTGAATTTAGTAGAAAGAGAGAATAGGGACTAGTCTGTGAGCTGACTTTGCCAAAAAGCCCACTTCCAGACTTTAGGTCTAATTTCTGCAGAGTCACTGTGTTCAGATTTCTGTGGCAGAGTATCAAGGCCACAGGTAATTCATCTTCTGGCTCTAGTTCTGCTTTGCGACCTAATTAAATGAATAAAGATGTGAAGAATGTTCATTTCCGTAGGGATAAACACATTGCTGCATGGGAAAAGGTGCGAGGAAAGGCTTGCTTTGTACAGGAAGAATATGAAGAACCACTGACTGGGAGATACTGAATGGCTGAAGAATTTGAATAGCGAGGGGGGAGAAACTGTTCTGATTTACATGCAGCTGCAGTTGCTGGCTC